TATTATAGCATTTTAAGGAGAGTTGTTACTAATTCAAAATTGATACAATATAACATAAATTTTAAACTTCAAAAAACACTAGTAATAATTAAAACACTTGGAAGCAACATTTAAAGATTGAATCAACTTAACATGAAATCACGGAAAAAGTTTCTTGAGATTTCATTTCCATAATGTTTTTTATGCCACACCAAGATACACATTTTGAAGTACTAGAAGAAATATTATACACTATGCAAAGATTTTATGCTTTATGAAATTCATTTGAATTTCCAAATACAAAATTTTCCAAACTCATGGATATTTGATTTTGGGATTTATATGAATGAGCAATTGGAAGCAAGGTAGGTTCATTATGTCTTCAGTACATGAAATGAAAATATGAAGAGAAAGAACTTGTTTATGCAATCTCAAAACATTCAAGAATATTCTAGAACCAGCCTGCGGTTCCTGAATACCATCTCTCCGGGCTCTCTTAGCTCGTCTCCAAAGCCTGGCGCCAGGTTAAATACTACATCTATTCGCGTGCCCCGGGAGCACTTTTCGGCTGGATTTCCTCACGAATTCGAAAGAAGTGTGGGCAGCAACGTTGAAAGCTTGCTCCTAGTGGAAACCTCACAAACCCGAGATGATCGTCCCCAATCCAGTCACTCGCTGCTACCACTGAACTGGGCTAAGGATTCAATCGCTTCAGTCGCCAGTTTCCAAGTGTTCCCAGACTCCAGCTTCCGGGTGGCTGTACCCCAGGGGAATCATCACCGACGAAGTGACGACCTTCGACAACTTAAATATGGATTTTGCAGCGATGAAAGCCACATTTTCTTCATCACAGACTACTCGCTCAAGTCTGTAAACTTCCTTGATCGTCACTCGCTGGTGAGGATTCCTGGCATATGGAAGAGCCTTCCCCCGGAATTCATAATCAGTCTCAAGCTCAGCTTCTCTTCATACTGCCTATTCGATGTGCATCTCCTGCTGGTTGGACAAATCCTCTGCCGGATTCCGAGTGGAGGGCCATCAACATATCCTCCAAGTTCTCGTGCGAAGTGCCAGGTTTTGTGATTCTTTCCATTCTTCTTTGTTTTTTCGTGCAGGTGTCTCGGCCGAGAGGGATTGAAACTATTCCAATCACAGAAGATCGTACATGAAACATATTGAAACTCTACATATTAGTTTTTACAAATGTGATACATCTTTTGGATAAGAGGCTCGGTCACAAAGAGTCCCCACCGATCTTACTGCCCACTCGCGAGATTTCGTAAAAAACAGAGAAAGGATGCATTGAGTTTGATGACGACGTGTATCTGTTTTCCCTGTATCCATGCGTGCAGCGGTACCAGTGCTCGCCACTGGCAAATGCGTACCATGGCGAAAGATCTGTTTAGAGAGACCAGTGATCTATTCTAGATTTCCATTATTTCCAAGAGCCCTAATTTACAAGATCACTTCTACTCTACTTGGATAGTTCTTGGCTGAGGCTTGGGGATCTTTGGAACTGTGACCGTGAGGACGCCATTCTCCACTTGGGCTTTGATCGCATCCACATTGGCGCTCTCGGGCAGCCGGAATTTCCTCAGGAAGCTCCCATAGCTGCGCTCCACGCGGTGCCACTTATCGCTCTTCTGTGCCTCGTGCTTCTTCCTCTCGCCACTGATCTGGAGAGTACGGCCATCTTCCACGCTGATCTTCACCTCCTCCTTGCTCAGCCCCGGGAGATCGGCCTTGAAGACGTGCGCTTCGGGCGTCTCGAGCCAATCCACGCGAGTGTTGGCGACGGCGCTCGCATCCCTGGCCATCTGCTTCGAGGGCTCGTGGCCACCAGCCAAGATCGACGAGAGCTCGTCGAAGGGATCGAAGATGCTGCTGCCATTGCCACCAGAGAAGTGCAAAGCCATATCTGGAACTTAGAAGACGAAGAAGAGATTTGTGACGTGCTATTGATCGATGCTGGGCCAAGAGATTGCTCCACTTTTATATAGAGCCATGGACATCTCTAGAGTGTTCCAATACATCCTAGAATATTCTAGAAAAGTGATATTCCAGAAGATTCTATATCAATTTAAAATGACTGATTTTCAACTGATCAAACTTACTGTGAATACGAGTCGCTGTTTACTACATTATCCTGATCTCTCCATTTTCTCTCGTCTTCCACCCAATGTTTCTCATCTTGATCATGGAATGCCCGAAGTCCCAGGCAAACTTATCGGGATTGTTCCCGTAAAACTTCACCAGTCCACTCGTGAATTGACTCTCAAAGAGGTCCTGGTCAGAGGTGAGAAGACCATTCCTCTTCTCAAAGCTCTTGAAGTACCAGTTATCGAAATTAAACTGGGAGCCCCTGTCAAACTCGACTGTGTTCGCGGTGAAATCTCCTCCAAGAGGGCATTTTTTCCGGAGATATGGCCAATACTCGGGATTCACTGTTTCATCTGGCTTGCTGGTGTTTTTGAAGTTGTATATGCGATCAAATCGGCCGTTGGCGAAAGTAGAACACTTGGAGGTCCCGACTGTGTGAGCTCCTGCCAAAAACTTCTGTAAGAATTTGTTAAGATAGTTTTATTCATCCAACCTGATAGAACAACGAGATCTTGAATGGATTAGCCTTGGTTCCTAGAGCTGCAGCATCGCACGATGGACCTCAGTGTTGTGCTTGCCAGATCGAAGCTTGATATTCTTCCATCGTAGCGCCCAGTGACTAATTCATAGTGCCGGCCTCCCATCTAAAATATCATATGATCATTCGAGGGGAAAAATTCAGTGCCTTCAGTCACTTCACACAAAAACGATCAAAGCGATGCTAACCTTGACTGTCGAATCCCTGGCGCCGATGGCAATTGTATCGGCACACGACACCACAGGCTTTCTCCAATCTTTGCATCGTCAATAACTTCGAATCCCCGCGCTGAATTGTTGTTTGGAAGGGAGAACTTCTCGACGTTGGTACCATCCGTTGGGGGACCGTTGGATCGCGATTGGCGTAATCGCAGATCGTGTCGCGGATCGGATGATCCGCTCCGCATCGGGACAAGTTTGCGCTTAGCTGTGTCCAAATCCAATCGAGTGTGACAAGACTCGATCGCTCGAACGTGTGGAAGCCATGGATCTTGAAGTAGCTCTATAGAAGAAATAGCTTGAAGAGCTATGACTCTTTGCTTGTTTTGGGAAATGCGTTCTTCGGCTGACCATTATATATGAATTTCGGTTTGAACAAACGCGTCTTGATTTGTGTCCCGTACTCCTTGAGTACAAATATTGCCAAGTTTTGAGTGTTTTCCTCAGGTTTTCAGAAACGCTCCAGAGATGGTTCCAGACAATCTCTCTAACCTATATACGAAAGCTCCCAAGAAACTTCGGCCAGTACTAAACCATTTTCTTTCCAAACATCCCGCAATTACTGTTTTCTTTAACAAAGTAGATCCAGAAAGTCTATATACCATCAAGACGCTTGAAATGGTGGCTAGCAAGACATAGCTTGCTCCGCCAAGTTTTCCTCCCAAGCCCTTGATCCTAGCAAGCTTATCCAGTCGACTTCGTCTGGAATAAATGGGGCACTGGAGACGAGCTCTCGAGCATCCCTGATTCTCCCAGCTCGGCAGAACAATCCTGGCATGCATCCATACTTCTGCTTGCTCGGGATCATCTCGAAATCCAGACAGAGCGATTGAATCCCACAGGAACATCACCAACACGCTAGAACACTTGTGAAAGTTGCATCGTTGGGCTTAACACCGTCAACTTGCATGGATTTTAATACTTCTAGGTTCTTAGAATGTTTTCTGTTGCTAGAATACATTGCAAGAAGAGCCGTCCATGAAACTGGGCCTCGTTCTGGCATCCTGTCAAAGAGGAGTATAGCTTTGGTAAGATTTCCTCTCTGAGAGTAACCCGAAAACATCGCAGACAAAGTTCTTCTCTCGCATTGATTTAAAAACCCACTCCACCTCTCTGTAACTTGGGAATATATCGAGAGCATCGCATTCCATAACACGAGGCTCTTTTCCTCCATCTTGTCAAAGAGATGTTGTGATTCTTCCAGATACCCTATTTGGGCATATACAAGAAGAGTCTTCCAGATAGCTGGTATTCCACGTACCAGGTTTCCCAATTTGCTGGCTCTGGGGTTCGAGCCTCAGTACAATCCAAGCTAACTGTTTTCTAACAAATCGGAAGATGGACGTCAAAGAAAAGAGGGCTCTTTATTTGATTCTCTTTCTCAAGAGCCCTAATTTACAAGATCACACTTCTACTCTACTTGGATAGTTCTCGGCTGTGGCTTGGGGATCTTTGGAACTGTGACGGCAAGGACGCCGTTCTCCACTTGGGCTTTGATCGCATCCACATTGGCGCTCTCGGGCAGCCGGAATTTCCTCAGGAAGCTCCCATAGCTGCGCTCCACGCGGTGCCACTTATCGCTCTTCTGTGCCTCGTGCTTCTTCCTCTCGCCACTGATCTGGAGAGTGCGGCCATCCTCCACGCTGATCTTTACCTCCTCCTTGGTCAGCCCCGGGAGATCGGCCTTGAAGACGTGCGCTTCGGGCGTCTCGAGCCAATCCACGCGAGTGTTGGCGACGGCGCTCGCATCCCTGGCCATCTGCTTCGAGGGCTCGTGACCACCAGCCAAGATCGACGAGAGCTCCTCGAAGGGATCGAAGATGCTGCTGCCATTGCCACCATAGAAGTGCAAAGCCATGTCTGGAACTTAGAAGACGAAGAAGAGATTTGTGACTTGCTATTGATCGATGCTGGGCTAAGAGATTGCTCCACTTTTATATAGAGCCATGGACAACTCTAGCGTGTTCCAATACATTCTAGAATATTCTAGAATATTCTAGAATAGTGATATTCCAGAAGATTCTAGATCAATTAACCATAAAAATTAACAACAGTGTCTTTTGTCTGAGCCCGGTTTCGAACCGGGGACCTCTAGTGTGTGAGACTAGCGTGATGACCAACTACACCACCCAGACTTATTTGTTTATTTCGCTTATATTTTCATCGGTTTAATTATACCTTGATAATTTTACTGGAAACAAATAATTTTGCTTCAATATTACAGAAGATTACAAAGCACACTATGAAATATCACAGCACCCGGCAAAAAAAATTAGCGAAAGTGGATCCAATTTTGTTGGAAAGAATCGACGTCGTCAAAGAGGCTGTGTGCTCCAATTCTAGGCTGTGAGGAGATTTCGTGCTTCTTGGTTCCATGGCTTGCTTCTGTCAAAGCCAGGCTTGGCTTGGCTGGCTTTGTAACTCTATAGAGATATAAAGAGAGCCAATGTTACCTATCGTTGGATTTTTATTGGCACAGCAAACGCAGCTTCCCAAAGTGTCGTTGCAAATGGAACTCTGTAAAGCTTCTCGCAGTCTTGTCTGGAGAAACAAGAGTTTTGACTTGGAAGGAAGCCTCCTGAAGAAGCATCAAAGAACTTAGTCCCGGCGACGAGGAGAACTTGAAAATCAGCATTGCCGAACCTGAGCCTCTTGGGAGGTTTTCTCTCTTCGTTTGCTGCTATGAAGCCATTGGCGGTGTTTGTGGTTCGCCTTCGATTCCAAACTCGGCAGCCTGGAGCTGGACTTCGTCCCACATAGCTGTCGAAGCTGCTAGTCATTAAGGAAAACAAAAATCCTCTAAGATCACCGCCGCTGCAAGCAATGAATGATCGTGAGAAAAGAAATAAAAACGAAGGGGATGGATACGATCGGTCCTCCACATATCGGTGATACTGACACCAGCATCCGATAAAAGCCAATAATCAGCATCCGTCTGTTGCATCACACCGTCAGCTCAGCTACGTGTTGGATAAGGTTTAAATGTTAGCAGCACTTACATCGACTTCAGCTGGCAAAATCTTCATGATGCCGTTTCCATAGTCGGGCATACTTGATGATTCCGCACCAGCGAAGTGTGATGGAGGCGGCCTTGTAACTACATGCTCTACATTCTCAATGACAGCAATGGTGTTCTCTTCCACGGTACGGGACGGGCCCGTGAGTTCTAACGTATTCGTTTCTTCGAATTTTTCCTCGAATCGGCTGCGGAGGATTGCGAACCTTAAGACCAGGAAAAGAGATAAAATCATAATAATACGCACCTCACAAGATATACATCTATGGGTCCCATCGTGCTGCGCAACAATATCTGGTATCGTCTCTGCGGGTACTCAACGGCCTGCATATTACAATTAGTTTAGTAAGACCATCCAGATGAAAGATTTCTTAAAAATGCTGAGCTGACCTCGTCCGGATCAGGAACTTCTAGAGTAGTTCCATGGGGAGCTTTGATCGCAATCAAGGTTTCATTCTGCCAGCCAGAGCAAGCGTTAAAACTAATATATCAGGCTTAGAAAGGACCGAGCAACGCTTACTTACACGAAAGCAAGGTAAACTTTTAATGTCGTCCTCGGTCACGTACAACCATCTTCGGTAGAAGTATGAAGTCAAGAAAATTCTGAGGGGTGCGGGAAAGATAACTGATAAAAAAGGATACTGTTTATTGTTTTCATCTTCACTCAACATTTTCAGCTTTTCCCGCATCTCCCTGATTGGAAAAATGAAAAAGTGCGTCATGTTAGAATAGAAGTACAAACCTTATACTTTCGTCTAGGTCCCGTTCCTCGACATGTAGTTCGTCCACTTCGGACTGTTTCGAAGATAACGAAAACCGGGGTGTGAATAAAACCAGTAAAAGGATGACAATTCTACCTTGAACGCTGTCATGTCAGGTGATATATCCATAGGAGTTGTGAAACCAAGTCCTCTGTTAAAAACTCCGATTGTGAAACCGTATCATCGATGCTATGCTATGCTCAAGTGACTCACTTCCATCTTATTCTGTTTTTCAACTTCTTTTCTATTAAGCCAATTCCTTCCAACACATTGGTGATGTCATAGATCCTTCGCTTTTGCACCTGAAAGGCAGAAGAAAGCCTCTCTGAAGCAGCTTGCGAAAGAGACAGACACTGAATGCAGCATGCACTTACTTTCAATGTCTCTGCAGCTTTGTTAAGATCAAGGACACCATCCTCAGCTTGCTTAAGTAAGTCAATAAACTTCTTCGTCAAAAGACCTGCACAGGAAGAAAACACAGGTCGCTAGAAAAAGCTAGAATCCAAAAACACAGCTTGAGAAAGTATACCCAAGGAACTGTCATAGCGGCATGTACTGACTGGTGTTGGCACGCTAGCAGCGGGTGATCCTGCAAAGAACTTGTAAGTTCGCAAACAAGACTTAAAAAAATGGCACTCGAACTTACCACCTACACTACCGGGAGTTTGAGGGCCACTTTTGGTGGCATTTTTCACGAACTTTGGACGGCTAACACGCTTGGAACCTGGGCCGCACCCAGGAGTAACAACAGGAGACGAGTGTAAAGAGTCCTCCTGTCACAAGAGAATGATTTTTACGAATTGAGTAACGGATCACTCATTCCACTCAAGAAGAAAAACTTACCGAGAACTTGGACATCTCCGATCTTTCGCCAAGAAAGCTCTCCCCTTCACCGCCAAAGTGGTGCTCCCCGGCAAACGAGAATGGCGGGCGCTGGAAAACCATACTAGATTTGTGCTGCTGGAAATCGGGGGGCGCCGCTAGCCCAGACCCATTTCTCTTGAGCTGCGGAGGCGTCTTACCAGAATGTAGGCCGTTGTCGCGGTAGATCTCCACCATGCCGCCTACTCGCCACGCATCTTTCCCGCTGCCCCAGCCCTCGAATTCGCGTCGCCCTAAAATTTCCCCTCGACCGGAGAAGAAAGAGGAGCTCTCCCACCGAAAAAACCCAAGACTACACAACACACACACCCACGCCGCTAGCTAGGGTTCCGTCACTTTCACACGCTGGCAAACTCTGCCGGGTGACGTCGCTTGTTAGGGTTCCGTCAGCGGCAGAAAAGCGCGCGGGCGATAGACAAAATGAATTTCTTTGAAATTGGAGGGCGCGAAATGTGCCTGCCACGTCCCCCCGACAGTGACGTGGACATTGCGTGGAGGACACGTTGCAGTGACCGGGCACGCCCATGCTAGGGACGACGAGCTCGTCGCTTTCTCCCTCCATTTTAAATCCATCATACTGTGCGCCGCGGCAGGCGTCGCATCTTCTAGGGTTTGTGCCGGGGATCGTTTGCGCCGATCTTCACGAAGAGGCGCGGCTCGATCGATCGGATGGCCGCCTCCGCGTTGGCAATCCCCCGGCGCGCCCCAGCAACAGTGAATCTCTCCGGAGGGTTTTGTGGGGTGATCCAGGCTGGAGAGCGCTCGCAATGCGACAAGCGATCGTCCACCTTTGTCTCCATGTTTATTATCATCCACGCGTGATCGCTTTTCCCAGTGGAGCTTTCAAGGTTTGCCACCGCCTGCGCTTTCACTCCCACGCCCTTGGATCGCGATTCTTTCTCCTCTCCTCGCGTATGAAATGCGGGAGAAGGACGAGGCAGGAAAGAATGGGATCATCATCCAGGCGATCCCGGAGAAGAAGAGACCCCGTCGCGTTGGTTTGCTCCATTTTCTTCTCCTGGGTGTTTGCTGCGAGCTCGAGCTGTGTTCCTGGAGCTGGATGTCCGCGAGCTCTCCTGGTTTTTAATATCTCTGCGGTGGATCCAAGCTCGCTACAGGTGATCTACGACAGGTTTTCTACAAGCTCCCAGCTCGTTTCTCAGTACAACCAACTTGGTAGCGGCAACAACTCAGCACAGATTTTCATTCCTTTCGACTGCCAATGCGTGAGAAAGGTTCTCCAGCACAACTTCCCATATGAGATCGCCCCCGACGACACTACTCTCTTCATCATCGCGAAAGAAAAGTTCCAAGGCTTAACGAGGGATGACTGGATTGCCGAGGCCACGCCATTGAAGGACAAGAACACCATCTTCGCGGGATTAAACGTCAAGGTTCCCGTCAACTGCTCGTGTGGAAATCCAGACGTGGATCGTAGCTATGGACTTTTTGCTACGTATGTAGTACAGCCGGGTGATACGCTCTCGACCATCTCTGCCAGGTTTAAGGTTCCGGACCAGCAACTTCTCCAGCGGTTTAATCCACATATCGACTTCCAGAGGCTTATAGCTCAGAGCATTGTCTTCGTTCCGGCCAAAGGTTAGCATTTCTTTTTATTTTGTTTTTGCTTACATTTCCTCGATCTTTTGTCGTTGCTTCTTCTTCGTCTATGTTTTAGATTCGAATGGTTTATATCCACCTTACAGCAGGTGAAGCTCGCTTTTAAACTTATGTGTCGCATGTCCTAACTATTGGTTTTGCAGCGATGACGGTGAGCATGCTTTTTTTCTTCTTTCTTATCAAGGTGGAACAACGCCGATGATTATGCACAAAATTCAGATGGTCACGGTGGAGTCCGGAGGTCTACCATCATTGGTGCGTCCGTTGGATCGATTCTGGCTGTGCTTCTTGCTGCTGCCGCGGGAATGGTATTCTTCCTGTGGAAAAGAAAACATCTCCAGCAAGACGAGAAAAACGATCGTCTTCCTTCGCCAGTAGCCAGCAGCACAGTGTCGGCATTGCGAAAAGCATCAGGTTTGGTATTTACTTGATTATCAGCACACACACACAAATCTATGGTGCTGCTACGCAGGAACTCCAACGCCTTCAGGAGTGCTGCGATCAAACATATCCTCGACGACTAGCGTTCGATCTGCAATCTCGGATATTGCTCTGGAAAAGTCCATTGAGTTTTCACTTCATGAACTTGTAGCGGCTACCAATAACTTCAACGAAACAAACAAGATTGGACAAGGTGGATACGGTTCTGTTTACTACGGCTATTTTCGAGATCAGGTGCGATGGTTTCTTACAATCTACAACCTGTTTCTTTCTTTCTTCTGTAAGCAGAAGCTGGCTGTGAAACGGATGAATATGCAAGCTACCAAGGAGTTTTTATCCGAGCTTAAAATCTTGAGCCGCGTTCATCACTCGAACTTGGTATTTTCACAGGCTTTGTATTTTCAGCTTACTCCAACTATCATTTTTCTGCTACAGGTCCAGCTGATAGGATACTGTACAGTTGAGTCTTTGTTTTTAGTTTACGAATTTGTTGATAATGGAACTTTAGCGCAACACTTGCACTCCGCAAGTAAGTAGTTCTGCCATTGGTATCTTTATATAATTCTCTGCTTGAGCAGCCCGACCACCACTTAGCTGGTCTTCCAGGATCCAGATAGCAATGGACGCCGCAAGAGGGCTGGAGTACATACACGAGCACACAAAGCCAACATATATTCACCGAGACATTAAATCCACCAACATTCTCATCGATAAAAATCTTCATGCCAAGGTACTGTATGTACAAGATGCTATGCAAGACTTCAAGAGCTCCTTTTGGTAACAGGTTGCTGATTTCGGTCTCAGCAAGCTAACAGAGACCGGCATGACAAGCATATCACTCACACAACCCACGCGTTTGGTTGGAACATTTGGCTACATGTCTCCAGAGTAAGTTCTCCTGTTCGTGCTTAGAACTACTAATTCACGAAGGTCGTTTTTAGATATGCACGATATGGGGATGTCTCGCCATTCCTTGATGTTTACTCGTTTGGCGTAGTCCTGTTTGAGATCATATCCGCTCAAGAGGCTATAGTAAGAACGCAGAGTGGCATTCTTTCGAATAAGGATGAACAGAAGGGGCTTGCCACACTGGTTAGTTCTTTTGCTACAAAGCACAGGATACTTTCTAGCTGCTAACTTCTTCTCTATGGCGATTTGCAGTTTGAGGACGTGCTGCAAGATGATACAAACGGAAAAGAGAGGCTTCGAGACTTGATGGATCCTCGGCTGGGTGACAATTACCCACTAGAGGCTGCTTGGAGTGTAAGAAATTTGTTTCCTTTAGTGGTCATCAGCACAATGGCTTGTTTCTTTGCAGCTCGCGAAATTAGCAGGAGCGTGTACCAAAGAGAACCCCGAGTTGAGGCCCAACATGAGAACAGTGGTGGTGGCGCTTATGACACTCGTGCACAACACAGCTAGTAACTCTTAAATCCTCTAAAGGTAAAAACACTTATCTGTAGATACTAAAAACCTTTACAGAAATAAATCGAAGCTTTGCTGGAAATGCGAGAACTACACAGAGTAAACGTTGGCAAGCAATGCATAGCCACAGCTATCTCTCACACTCTCACGAATCACAAGCTTCGCAGCTAGAGCACCTTGCTCGACGTTCCTGTGGCTTCTACAAGCAGCCAGGAAGCAAGTCATGCTGAGAAGCCTGGGAACAAAAGGCATGCTTGTGACGAGATCTCTCGCGTCGAGCAAAAACCCAGCACGGCCCAGAAGATCTACGAGGCAGCAGTAGTGCTGCTCGCAAGGAGCGATTCCAAAGTCCAAGCTCATCGACACAAACAAGCCACGGGCGAGCTCCAATTTGCCTCCATGGCTGCAACAGATGAGAACCGACGTGAAGCACGCCACGTCCGGCGAGTGAAACATCTCCATTGCGTGAAAGATTCGCAGTGCCTCCATGGAATATGCCCTTCGTCGTGTGCATGCGGCGAGCCTCGAGCTCCACGAGATGAGATTCTGCTCGGGCATTGCCTGGAAAAGAGACACCGTTTGCGAATATGCCCCACTCTTGGCATTTGCTGCAAGGAATGTGTTCCAAGAGGCAGTGTTTCTCACCGGCATTTTCCAGAAGAAATAAGAGGTGTAATCAAGTTGGCGGTGATCAGCATACGTCGCAAGAATTGCGTTCCAAGCGATCTGATCGTACTGTGGCATTCTAGTAAAGATTCTTTGAGATTCTTCAATATGCCCGTTCTGGGCATACAGTGCTAGGATCGTAGTCCATGAAACCAGATCGCTTGCTGGCATTTGATCAAAGAGTGCTCTAGCCTGATCGATTTCTCCTGCGGCAGAAAAGCTAGTGAGCATCGTATTGAGAGTGACGAGATCAATAACAGGCATGGATCTGAAGATCTCTTGGGCATTTCGTAGATGCAATCCCGCTGAATATGCGGAGATCATGGCATTATGTGCAAAGATGTTTCTCTCTGGAAGAGTCGCAAACAGGGACTTTGCCTTTTCAATCTCTCCATTTTCTGTGAGAGCTGCAAGAACAATCGTGCACGAGACGAGGTCGTGCTCTGGCATTTCCACAAAGAAGAAGTGGGAACATTCCTCTAGATGCCGATTCTGGAATAATGCCGAGAGCATTGCGTTCCAGGCGATCAAGTCACGTAGCGGCAAGCGCTCAAACACAGCGGCAGCCTGCACCAGCAGGCCATTCCGGGAATATGCCTTGAGCATGGCGGTCCATGCCACAAGATTTGAATCTGGGTTGTCCTTGAGCATCTTTCGTGCCTCTACTAGATGCCCGGCTTTGGCAAGTGCGGTCAGCATTACAGCCCATGAAACTGTGTTTACATAAGGCATGCTATTAAATACTTGAGATGCTTTGTGTAGATTTCCATTCTGAGCATATGCCGTGAGCAAAGCATTCCATGCTGCAATGTCTTTATTGGGCATTTTATTGAAGATTTTCTGGGCATCTTCAAGTTGACCATTTCTGGAATAAGTACATAAAGTTTCCATGTAAGAGATTGATTTGCTGAGGTACATATTATTGAATGTAGATTATTTTACCAAAGACATATTTGGGAGTATTTTAACTAGGTTGACCAAGGACACATGAGGATGTTAGGTATGGATAGCAGACATAAGAAACAAAGTCTTATGCTTTTCAGTTCAAATGTATTAAGACCAATAATTGTAATATTAATATTGTTATAGCTTCATAGCTAGACCTATGTTCAAGGGTAAAAGTTAAAATGTAAATTACCACATTTAGTTTTGAACCCAATATAAATTACAAATGCTAACCACAAGATTCAAGATTAGGTTGGGTGAAGATTGATGAGAGCTCCTCAAGTGATCTAAGATGCTATTTCATGTTTAAAATTATCACTTTTGTTTCATAGCAAAAATTACTTTGCTAAATCCATAAGGTGTTCAACCTTAGTAAGTTTTACTGACATTTGCACTATTAATGGCCTAATTTTGTGACCTTCCCATAAGTTTTTGTTCTCATGAATATTTTAGAATAGTAAATAGATTTAAGAAGATTTTAGATCAATATAAACTTTTTAATTTGAACATTTTCAACTATAGGCACTATTTATGATATATGTCTTTGTTCCCATGAATATTCTAGAATAATAAATAGATTTAGCCAAATTTTGTGACCCTCTAATAGGTCTTTGTTCCCATGAATATTTTAGAATAATAAATAGATTCAAGAAGATTCTAGATCAATGTAAGTTCTGAATTTAGACTTTTTAGAAGGTAATCCAACCAGTACTATTCAAACCCAAGGACATTTAATTATAAATATCATAAAACCATTAGCTGATTGAAAAAAGAGGTGCATTTTTATTTATGGGGTTTTTCCTTTTACATTTATATTTTTATACTTATATTTCAAGTTTGTTTACAATTTAATATGCTTCCTTACAAATTCACTCCTTTTTGAATGAAATTTGAGAGCTATATTTCTATTTTAACACTCTATTTCTTCAGTTAATTTGAAGCACTAAATATCAATTTTAATATGTGGTGTAAAACTAAATATAAACTATTGAATTTAGACTTTTCAGGAGCTCACCACACCCAGAATTATTTAAACCAAAAAACACTTAACCCTAAGTTTTGCAAAGCTCTTAATTGATCATCTTTTAAGTCATTCTTTTTGGTTATTTATAATCAACTTATAAAACATGGCTAACTATTAATTAATTATACAGATAACACAATAATAGTTTCTACTAGGATCAATTCTCAATATTATTCTAGAATTGATAGCAAATACCCCAAGATGATTGTTGTTTAGCATCTTTTGTGTCTATAAAAGATATGAGGCTTTAGCAAGTGTAATGTGAATTACAACCCATAAATCTACATTCACATAAAGCATGCTGTCAAATATTTGAGATGCTTTTTGAAGATGTCTATTATAAGTATATGTTGTAAAAAAAGCATAACATAGTGCAATATCTTTACTGGGAATTTTAATAAAGATTTTCTAAGTATTTTCAAGTTAATCATTTCTGAAAAAGGAACTGAACATTGTTTATTTTGTATTTTATTAATGTTGCTATGTAAGAGATAAATTTATAGAAGTGCATATTGTTGTATGTAAGTTTTAAAACTTCAATCATTTTCCATGGAATATATGAGGTAAAGGATATTTTCTGAGATTGCATTTTCCATTGTTCAAATTTTTTTAATAGCATGTGTAATAATAAAGCTAAAAGAACTTAATTATTTAAAATTGTGCTAGAATAAACAATATTAAAATAATGGTTATTGTGACATAAAAGATTTAAAGCTATATCAATAGGAAATAAATAACTTACACACCTTTCGTAACTTATTATATATTTTATATCTGAGTTGTCTTGGTTGATTTGGGTGTACAAATATTTTTTTAAAATTAAAAATCAATCTAATTTTAAAAGTAAGTAGTTATATAAAAATTTATTATATAGATATATTCTAATTGATACTTTGCATCTTAACAATATGTAAACTTATAACCAGTCATAAATGCTTAAGAAAATTTATTCAGCTATTTAATAAAGAGTGAATCTGAGCGATGTTAAATTTTTATGTGTACTTAATATTTTTAATCTATAATTATATGAGTAAATTATTTATTTCTTACTACTAAATTCTACTTTTAATTTTATAGTTGATTTCGTTTTAAACTCACTATTATATGTACATAAATTATAATGCTTTAGTGTAACTTCCTCTTTAATTTTTATCTTCCACATGTTTAAAGCATTGAGAGTAGTAATAGTACTAGTTGATCAGTTTTATTATTTAAATATTTATTCATGTGAAAAATTATAGAATAATTTAAATATAAAAAATTGAGTTATTTTAAATTTGTGGTAATTATGGTTAAAATAATACAATTTTATACTTGATAAATGTATACATATCTATCCAGACTTTGATTTGGAAATTACTAAATTTCTATAATATAAAATTACTAATTCCAACCAATAATATTAAAGAATATGTAAATAATAAAAAATGCATCACAAATTATAAGAGTTTTATCTGAATTTCAAAATTAATACCTTTTATCTAAGTACTTTAGGGTTTATAGGTGCCATGCTTTTGCATTTGCCTGTTTGTCGGTCTCAGAGCGTGTTCCAGGCAGTCAGGGTGGAATCCAACACCCCACATTCTCGTCCACGAGTTTCTGACTGGAAGAACAAGGAGGAGGAGAGCAAGCCTGAGAATGTAGCTCTACAAAGTAAGAAATCTTCGAAGCGTTTGGATAGGAGCAGGAATTTGAAGCCCTCAAATGACAACAGGATCGACAAATCCTCTTACGCCGGGATTTCTCCTGTTCGCGCAGGTAAACTGGAAGAACCTTTATCGTTTGAGATAGGAAAAATAGAGGAACATGAAGGAAAATTACTCTCTTGTCTCTTTGGCAGTGGTGGTGGTAAGATTGATGAGGATTGAGATGGGAGGAGCTTTCTCAGACGTCCTAAACGGGGATGGAGAAGATCGCTTGGACAAAGAAATGGAGTACGTGAAACGAACTCTGGGATTTAGCATACCGAGTTTGAGGCCTGAAAATTTGAAGCTGGTTTGATCTTAGCATTTCTTTTGGTTTTCCTAGTTATTGACGATTGTTTTTGTAGGTGACTGAAGAGGTCGCTGGTATTGTTCGCTGGAAGAAATATCTCGACTATGTGATAAGCAATGTCTATGACAAGGATCAAAACGAGTTTGAGCGAATGGAGCCCATTCTAAAGCAGGTGTATTTCCCATTGTTTCGTACTTCAATTAGTTCGCTTTTCTTTCGCTCCAGGTCCTCCGACTAGGATCTTATGAGCTTTTGAAACTCGAAGTACCAGCTTATGCTGTTGTCAATGAAGTAAGGTTTATTTATTTTTCTGTAAAGTCACTATTTTTAAAATTTTCTTTTTCTTTCACAGGCCGTCAAACTTGCCAATGCTGCTTCTCGGGCTGGAGCTGGAAAATTGGCCAACGCACTTCTTCGAGCAGTAGCTTCACACAAAGTAGAAGAATAAAAATGAAAAACTTCTCTGTGTTTTCACACAATGCAAGAGTCTTGTTTTTTACAGGAGAAGAATACGCTGCCCGTTCCTGAAGTAATAGGAAACTTGCGGTCGCAAGCGAGAGCATTAGGAACAATCCATTCCCATCCAGTTGTGAGTAGACAATGCCAAGTAAATCGTCGTGTTATTCTGTTTCTTTTTCGTTTTTGACGCAGTGGATGGTGCGGCGATGGACAGATCGATATGGCACTGAGGACACTTTAAAACTGATGGAGTGGAACAACACAAGGCCCTTTTATGCTTTAAGGTACCACGATATGTGATTTGTAGACTCTTTACGTGTTTGGTTTTCTGGCTTTCAGGGCGAATAATGCCACTGGAACCTCTCGCGATGATTTAATAGAACAGCTTAAAAAGCTCGAGGTGGGATCAATCACAATCTCTTTTTCTACTCCTTTGAATCTCTTTTTGTTGTTTTTTTTTTCTGCCTGTGCTTAGCAGGTTTCATATGTTAAGTCGCCACTACTGGAAGACTTTGTTCGAGTGACTTCAGGACTTCAGGTAGCTTGTAGATGATAACTCAAGTCAGCTGATAAAATGATATCGTTTTCTAGGAGGTGCTGAGATCCGGATTGATCCAACAGGGACGATGCACAGTCCAGGACGAGAGTGGTGGTATGTGTACTCTTGCACATACTTTTTTATTTAGAATTTTTTATCTGAGAGTTTCTTTCAAAGGCCTGGTGGTGGAACTGCTGGATCCACAGCCTGGAGACTTAGTGATCGACTGTTGCGCTGCACCTGGTGGCAAAAGTCTCTATATTGCTTCACGACTGAAAGGAAAAGGTCAGCTTTTTTCCATCTCTTTTTTTCTTTGAGATTTTCTTTTGTGGACGAATCAAAGAGGTGGTGCTACAGGGAAAGTGATAGCAGTGGATATCAACAAGGCTCGTCTCCAGCTTCTCAAAGATTCCGCAAAGAAAGCAGGCGTGAGCGAGCAAGTATCCGTCTACAATGTGGATGCCCGAGACATGATCCGTGTGAGTAAGAACTTACCACTTTGTAAGATTTATCTAAAGCTTTTCTACTTTTTTCTTTTGTGAATGTGAAGGGTAAAACAGGTCTAGCGGATAGAGTTTTACTGGACGCTCCGTGCAGTGGTCTCGGTGTTCTATCCAAGGTAAGAACATTTGATCAATGCAAGAGCAATAATTTTGATCAAAACAAGGTTTTGCTCAATTTTTTCGATAGAGGGCGGACTTGAGATGGCGTAGAACTCTGGAAAGCTTTGAGGAATTGACAAAGCTCCAAGACGAGCTACTGGACGGTGCTTGCAAGTATGTTTTTTCCTTTCCATCGTTTTTCACTCGCTCGGCATTGATATCTCTCTACTTATAACAGGATGGTTCGACCGGGAGGAGTGCTTGTCTACAGCACTTGCTCGATCGAACCGGACGAGAACATCGATCGGATCACTAGTTTTCTCGCTAGAAATCAAGTGAGTCTTTCCTTTTTTACCATCTATTGATGTGAAATCGTGTGTTCTTCCAGAACTTCATCCTGGAGCCACTCGAGAGAGAAGTTCCTCGAGAAATGGTCTCTCGGGAAGGATGTTTTTACTCTCTGCCGTACACGCACGGCATAGATGGAGCATTTGCGGCAAAGCTCAGGCACAAAGCTTAATTTAAAAGAGGAAGAATATGCCAAATGTAAGGGCAAAATATGGCTATGGCACTGTTGTGGATAATCTTCAGCTCGATCGTCCTCTCCGCGCCCGGGTTTGCGAATGCCGGTGACAGAATCGTGGAAGGGACCGTGGCATTCGCCTCTGTCGGGCGAGCGCGCTACGCATTCGATGTGTTCTTGCTGGATTTCCGCCCGTGGGAGCTCGAGAATGCAAGCCTAGGGCCCCATTTGGAGTTCCGGGCCACCGATGGCGTCTCTGTCAACTACAACGGGGCGCTGGTGGATGATTCTCAGCGGCGAGTGATCTTCGAGGCGCTGGATTTCCGCGGTGAGCAGCAGGGTGATGCGAGCCAAGGGATTCTTATCTATGTCTCCGAGCGGGATGGCGCTGCTGAGGTTCGATTCAATCTCTTTTACCAGGGGCAACGCGATCGAGGCGAGCGAAGTCTCGGAAATATCGAGAGCGGCTCTCAAGAATCTCATGGAAACAGGAGGGATGCGCTGGAAATCCATGGCGATAGAGGGAATTCCCAGAATTTCATCGATTTGGGGAAGCTATGGTCGAGCAGCGAGGTGGAACCGACAGCGCTCTACGACAGACCGTCGGTGGCCGATGGGAGAGTGATCTTCGTCTCGACAAGGAAGCGGCGAGAGCAGTCGAGGCAAAGCTGGGCGGCAGTCTACTCCATGGACATCGTCACGAAGAAAATCACGAGGCTCACTCCAGAGGGCGTCACAGACTACAGCCCTTCGGTCTCTCCATCTGGGAAGTTCGTCATGGTTGCTTCGGACGATGGTCGAGGCTGGGGAGGAGAGATCGAAGAGCTTGACACGGATCTATACTCTTTTCAAGCCTGGGATGGATCCGGAAGAAAGCTCGTGGTGAAAAATGGAGGCTGGCCATCTTGGTCGGACGATTCGACCGTCTTCTTTCACAGGAGAGCCGAGGATGGGTGGTGGAGCGTCTACAAGGCCACTTTCTCAAAGTCCTTCACGGCGATTCGAGAGGAAAGGATCACACCACCGGGAGTTCATGCGTTCACTCCAGCGGCTTCACGGACAGGGAAATGGATTGCTGTAGCAACTCGAAGAGCCGGCTCGCTATACCGTCACGTAGAGGTGTTTGATCTCGGCTCGAGGAAGTTCCACAAAGTTAGCGAGCTCGTCGCTCCGGAGGCTCATCACTACAACCCTTTTGTCTCGCCAGAGTCGGACAAGATCGGGTATCACAGATGCCGGGGAAAGGGAGTGACTCCTCGGCTGGAGCACATCAAGTCTCCAGTTCCAGGAATCTCTCTCGTGCGAGTTGACGGGGACTTCCCCGTGTTCTCTCCCGATGGAGAGTCCATAGCTTTCATCCCCGACTTGGACGAAGGTGGCATTTACGTGACGCGGCTCAACGGCTCGGGCCTGACCAAAGTTTTCGACAAGCCGGCCTTCGGACTCTCCTGGGACAAGCAGAGGAAAGGCGTTCTCTACACGAGCTATGGCCCGGGATTCGTGCCGGAGGACACCATCGTTCACATCGTCTCCATTCTCAACGCGGACGAGCTCATCGCCGGCGGCGGAGGTGAAGTCAAGTGGAAGATCCTGACGAAGAGCGGCACCAAGAACAACGCATTCCCATCGCCATCGCCCGACGGCAAGTGGATCGTCTTCCGGTCCGGACGCTCGGGACACAAGAACCTCTACATCATGGACGCGATCCATGGCGAAGAAGCAAGCTTGAGGAGACTCACCGAGGGGGCCTGGACGGACACAATGGCGAGCTGGTCACACGACGGAGAATGGATCGCCTTCTCGTCGGATCGACACAACCCCGGCGGTGGCAGCTTCCAGCTCTACTTTGTTCGTCCGGATGGTAGCCAACTCCACAGAGTTCTCAACTCCAGCACTGGAGGGCGAGTGAACCATCCGTTCTTCAGCCCGGATTCCAGGAGCTTGGTGTTCACCACGGACTACGCTGGCGTGTCTGCGGATCCGATCGCTGTTCCGGCGCAGTTCCAGCCGTATGGAGAGATTTTCATGGCGAGAATCGATGGGAGCGAGCTCGTCCGGCTCACGCACAACGCGTACGAAGATGGAACTCCATCCTGGGGGCCCGTGAAGTTAGATTCGAGCGCTCTCACCGGAGAAGGGAAGAAGGCCCGCTGTGGCTTTAGAGACACGAGATGGCTCAAGCCCGCCATAGCTTAAGCCCGCCATGGCTAGATTCATACTCAGCCGCTAGATGCGAGCCATCGGACGGTCTACATAAATTTAAATGTAGTTCATAGCAGTGGGTTTTAGGGTTCCTGCCCAGGGATGAAGAGGTTCTTCCAGCCCGTGGAGCGCGATGGCGCCTCCAAGAAGCCCTCCATCGCGATCGCCAACGGCGGCGAGAATGCGTGCGCCGATCCATCCAGGTTCATGTCTTGGAATGCGAATAGCTTGCTTCTGCGATTCAAGAACAACCGGGAGGAGGTCATGAGCTTCATCCGAGGCTTCGATCCGGATGTGATTTGTATCCAGGTGGTGTCCCAGCTCCTAGCTAGCATCGGATTTCTCATCGACAGGGATTGCTTGCTTCCAGGAGGTTCGTCTCCCGGCGGCTGGATTTAAAGGCGAGAAGAAAAATCCGGGAGAGATCAAGGATGATAGCGCTGCTGCTCGCAATGACAAGCAGGTATGGGATTCTTTCTTTCGTCAGTGATGCATTGGCTAGTAGGCTGTGATGCGTGTTCTATCGGTGTCGCCAATGGCAGATTATAGCGTGTGGTGGTCTCTCGGAGAGAACAAGTACGCTGGAACAGCTCTCTTCGTGAAGAATTGCTTCAAGCCAGTGTCGGTAGCCTTCAACATTGACAACAAAGGCAAAGGTTCGTAAAACCATTCTTTGTTTCTTTTTTGCTCTTTGGCATTTAGAAAACTCAACAAGATTTGATTTTTTTTTTTCGTGGATGATAGATGCACAACGCCATGAGATCGATGGGAGAATTATCTTGGCGGAGTTTGGATCGTTCACTCTTCTCAACACTTACGCCCCGAACAATGGATGGAAGGAAGAAGAGAATGGTTTCGTGCGAAGAAGAGCGTGGGACAAGAAAGTACTCGAGTTTGTGAGCTCTTGCAGCAAGCCGCTCATTTGGTGCGGTGATCTTAACGTGAGGTACGTACGATTTGAAGGTTCTTTCCTTGTAAATGAAGCGTGCGAGTGTGACTTTCAGCCATCAGGAGATCGATGTTACTCATCCGGAGTTTTTTGCAAACGCAACCCAACCCGGCTACACTCCTCCAAACAAAGAGGTATACTTTTCTCCTAAAGCGACTCTATGTATTGGAATTGTGAGTGATCAGGACGCTGGACAACCCGGATTCACGCTCAATGAGCGAGCAAGGTTCTCAGCAATCTTAAATCGGTTAGTATCTCTTGAAAAAAAAAAAAAAACAAACTGAGATCTAACTTTAACTTGATCTTTGTGAATTCAGGGGAAATCTGGTGGATACGTACAGGCATCTCCACGAGAAGCAGGACTTGGAGGCTGGATTTACGTGGTCTGGAAATCCCGTGGGGAAGTAAGTACAACCGTAAAAAAGGAGTTTTACTTTTCTACCTGGAGAATGACAATCGTGAGAAATCCCAGGTATCGCGGCAAGCGTATGCGAATCGACTACTTTCTAATCTCCAAAGCGTTGCTTCCTCGTCTAGCCAGCAGCAAAATCCACGGCCGTGGAATTGAGCTAGAAGGTTGAGTGTTTTCTTTTGATCTCTTTGCTTCTCTTCCAAACAATGATCTAATAGAGTATCTCTTCTTTCCAGGATTCCTTGGAAGTGATCACTGCCCACTGACCATGGAACTCAAGAATCAAGCCTGCCAAAACCACGACTGAGAGTGGCGCGAGATTTTCATTCTTTTTATATATACGGAGTCAAGGCATTGCATCCCATCTCTCCACTGCGAATATTCCACAAAGACGGTGCTTTTGTTTAGCCCGTCTCTGTCCGACACCTGTCCGGCCAGAAAAGCTTTTGTTGCTGACTTTAAAAAGCATATTCTGGGCCATAGAGTCTATGCGACAGCGACGCACACACGCAAAAGAAGGCGTACGGCGTGGCCGCTGTTCGATCGCAAGCGTACGGTCTATGGTGTAGCGCGAAATCGATGTCGCATGCTATGTATGCTATTACGTGATTTACAAAGTACTTCGCGATCAAGCTTTGAAAAGCACCAATTTTCAGCATTTTTTTTTCTTATTCTCTCCCAGATTCAATCGACAAAGATTTTGGCTGATAAACTCCGGAGAAAAGGAAAAAAAAAAAAAAAAAACGCGGGGAGCCTGATTTTATAAAAGACCGAATGACAAAAGGTTCTCTAAGAGATGATCGCTGTTTGGCTGCTGCCAAGCCGAAAAAGAAAGAGCGGGAGAGAAACCAAAAGAGGGAGGAGAATTTACACTGAGACGAAACGATGATCGACGATAGAAGCAGCAGCAGCAGCAGTAGCAGCGAGTGCGCCTTATTATTTTCCGACCCCCAGAAAATGGTTGTTTTTTTTTTTCCGTTTTTTTTCTTCTCTTTGATCTTTTGCTCGCAACTCGGCCCCCAAAATTTGTCGCAAATTGGTGTTTCGTAAATCCTGTCCTTCCTCCTGTTTCCCTGTGCCTGGCAATTCGATCTCACGAAGAATCTCTCTCCCCTAAATCTCAGCCTGCGTAGTCGACGGCGAGGAGGAGCTCACCGAAATGGGCGGAGGGGCGGCGGCGGGCGAAGAAACGGACGCAGAATCCACCGATGTCGTGGTTGACAATCCCATCGTCGACGTCGAGGAGCCCGCCGCCGTGGACGTGGACGACAGCGAGCCGCTGCTGCTGCTCCCCTGGATGTGCTGCTGCTGCTGCTGATCCTGCCCCTCCAGCTCCACTAAAGTCGCCCTACTAGCTAAGTGGTGGTGGTGATGGTGGTGAATCGACGGCGGCGACGCCGGCACCTCCGAACCGAAGCCGTAGATCGCCGCCAGCGGGTGGTCGAACTTGCACGTCGGCCCGAACTTGCAGATGCCAAACCGGATGTAGTATGAGCACGGTTGCACGCCCTGCATTCATGTAGTATAAAGTCAATAACACATCCCTAGGAAAGGTGGCGAAGGGGAAAGGTGGCGGACGATGAAAAAAAAGGTGGTAGAAGGTAAAACAAGACTAGCACAGAGGTGGCGGATACATACCGTGCGGAGTGGCAAGCCCATGGGACTGAGCATTGTGGGTGCGGACGCGGAGATTCGGTCGCGCGGGTGGTGGAATCTGCAAGATGCGCCGTACTTGCAGTCGCCGGTCTTGAGGTAGTACTGGCACTCGGCCACGCCCGGCCGCTCCGGGAAGGCGTCCCCGCCGCCGCCACCCTTGTGCTCGCGCAGCCCCGCCGGGAGGCCCATTGTGGGGGACCCCGGCACAAATGGGCTGTAGTCGGCTGTCGTGGGGGAGCTCGCCCCGGGAAGATAGAGCTGTTGATCCTGGAAAAACCAACCGACCTTTCAGTATAAGATCGTATGCTGCAGTGTGATCCCCCATAGCAATTTCCAATCGCTTGGATCATTCGTTCCAAGCCATGAAATCAAACAATGGGAATGAAATGCGAACCATGCAAAGGTTTTGGATCGAATGGAAGAAACCAACGAAAGAGAGAAGAGGTTCTGGCGGCTTACGTGATACGTGCTCCAGCCGGGGATGGAAACCACCCCTTGTGGGGAAGGAAGAAGAAGTGGGGTGTAACTCGACGCCCCGGCTTGCAATCTCGGGCTGGGGAACGGTCTCATTGTCGGCCACCCCGGCTGGAAGTGCTGCGGCGTCCCGGTTGCGGCGTTCGGCGTCCCCGGTTGGGACGCCCCGGCGGCGGCGGCAGCGGCGGCAGCGGCGTAGATGGATGGCACCACCGCCGGTTGAGGGTGGTGGAATTTGCAAGTCACTCCGTATTTGCAAGACCCGGTTCTCATGTAATACGCGCATTCTTTCTCGCCCTGTGATAGAACAAGAAAAAAAAGAAAAACAGATAATTAAAAAAAAGAGAGCCATAAAAGGCAAACGGAAGTATTTTTAGTGATCGGGAGTTTCTTCCGACAGGGATTTTGCGAGAGATTTTCTAGGGGTTATGTTTCGGAGAGATAAGTTACCGGGCGGTATGGGAGGCCGACGATGTTTAACTGGACTCTGGATTGGATGCCCGCTTTGTCTCGAGGGTGGTCGTATTTACAAGTGGATCCAAACTTGCACGTCCCGGTCTTGAGGAAATACTGCTCCAAAACCGCAGGAACAACAAAAACACATCGAGAGGAATCGATCGGATTAGTTCTAGGCGAGGTGGCGGAGATATGGGGGGCGGATTATCGCTAATCACACCCCCCGGAGGATTTAAGCTCTTTTCTTTTACCTGGCACTCGGGTTGCCCAGGCCTTTCTGGGTACTCGCCTTTGCCACGAGCTATGGCAGCAGCCTGGAAGAAGAAGAAGAAGAAGAAGAAGGAAGAAAAGGAAGGAAAAATGAGAGAGGGGGAAGAACAGAAAAAAAAAGAAAAAAGAAAACCATCACACACGGTTGGCTATGGCGGACGAGAGATTGGAGAGAAAGAACTTGGAGAGAATTGGCGAGGGAAGAGTGCTTACCAGCTTGCGATTTGGAGGGTGATTGAATTTGCAGCTCATTCCAAAGGCGCACAGCCCGGTTCGCATGTAGTAGACGCAGTCTTGCTCGCCCGGGCGCTCGGGATAAGGCCCGCCGCCACCCCCGCCGCCACCTCCGCCGCCTCCGCCACCCCCCGGCGCCGCCATGTCCACCATCCCGGGGTGATCTCCCGCGCTCTGCAAGCTCAGCCCCCACATCGCCTCTGCAAGAACAAGACAAAGATCCGGGACAAGGATTGGTGAGGAGAATTCCGAGGAGAATTGGGGTGGCAATGCGCCGCGATCCAAAAGCCCCCTGCGCTAGAGCTGGATCTCGCGAGCTCGAGCTCTCAAGAAACTCTCACACTCTCTCTCTCACTCCTTGATCGACGGATTCGCGAGAGCTTACCTTCGAGGCCAGTGGGATTGGGCGGCGCCGCGGCCTGCTGCTGGGATGATCCCTCCTGCCGCCATTCCTGGAACGAGGATGGATGATCCACCACGCCGCCCGGCTGCTCGTAGCCCACGAATGGCGAGCCCCCCGGCGGCGCTACTGGCTGGTAGTAGTCCATACGACGACGATCAGCCCTCCTCCTCCCCCTGTGGCGGCGACGATGGTCGAGGAGCGCGGCACTGTAGAACAACCATGGGATCTACGCTCCCCAGCTCGCGATTTGCTCGAATCCGCGCGCTAGCCCGCCGCCCCGCCGGCGATTGGCGGCAGCCCACTGCCCAATTCCGCGAGATCTGCGACCAGCGCGAGGAATGCCGCCCCGCCCTAGCGAAGATCCGGCCTTGGATCCTCGTTTGCTGCGTGTGATCTCTCTCGCGAGAGAGCGCAGCAAAGAGGATCTCTTGCCTCTTCCCTTGTTCCTGCCTTCCTTGCTCGCTTCTTCTTCGTCGCGGTGTGTTCTTCGTTGGCGCTAATGTGCTCTGTTTTTCCCGAGCTTGGGGGGGCCTTTCCTATGGTGAGCATTTCGGCGCATCGTGGCCGTTGGCGGGGCGGGATCCACGGCCCCTGTCCGGCCAGCGGGGCGGGGGTGGGCTATCTTGTACATGTCTCTCACTGCCGCATCCGGACCGTTGGGCAGAAGATCTGACGGGCATAATCAGGCCACGAGATCCTCGGTCGCGCTGTCTCGTGCTCCGTGACCGTCTGATGGGCGGATCCACGGCCCAAACCAACACACTTGTCGAGATGGGAAGCCGTCGGATTTAAGAAGCGTCGTAAGTGTCTTGGATTATTAATATTACCGGCCGAATTTTACCCCTCTCGCTAAAAAATCATTCAATGTAGCCTAGTGTGTGAATCGGGCCGAGGTAAAAACATGCGCACAAATTTTGTGCGCGCGCGGTTTCGAGGAGCGCAACCGCGCGGCATTTTTGGGCCGCAATAATGGCGCACCTTCCGTACGGCATTGTCCCAGCTGGGAATCGAACCTCAAAAATCCCTTCTATATAAAAGCTAGAGCTACGATTTTTTCGCGTTGTCGATGTATGTAACTCTCGTCTCTTTTATTCCTTCCACCATTCTTTCGCTCGATCCTTCTTTTTTTTTTTTCACACCACTTTACTTGGCTTCGTAATGTTGGAGTTCGTTTTGCGAGAAACCAGGCAGTCGGTGTGAAGGTCCACTGCAATAAGTTTTCTTCTTCCTCCAGGAACGAGAATCTCTTCTCCGCGCTTGACACATCACAAAATCTCTCTGGCTCTGCGACGCGATGCCGAAAGGGCGCCAACTTGAGCGAGAAAGCGAGAACGACGAGTCTATATATTGCGGCATGTTTTCTTAGTGCTGCGAGCTACCTACAGTAACAAAACGAAAAGAAAAAAAAAAAAAAAACAAACGCATCAGGAATGTCAAAGCGAGAAAAACTACGACCGCTTTTGCAACAACGATAAAAATGAATACCAAAATTGATGTCGACTGCTAAGTTCCTGTATGATTGCCGTATTATGACCGATGTATCCCTTGTTCTCTGCACCCAGTGTTTGCACCTTACACAAAGGTTAGGAAATCCAAGCTGGAAAATCGCACCTTGGGAAGCTCAATGTGACTTAGTCGTGCTTCCCACCTCCGGCTTCCATTTCCATTTGTAAATGCTGCAAGGAACGAACATGTGTAGCAACGGAAACAAGGAGAAAATAAAATAACTAGAAAAACGACCGCACCTTTCTCTTCCCAACGTATGGTTGCACCGCAGGAGGCGTGGAGTTTGTCGTCTCTTCACGCAGCTTCTTCTTCTCCATCTCAAACTCCTTACGGCTGTCCCTCCTCGATCCGTTCTGCCAAACTCGTCCAAAGCTCGGGAGCCAATCGTTCGCAGCTTCTTCTCTGCGCGGTGCGGCATCTCGCTCAAGCTGTGCCTTTCGCCGATTGGCCCAAGCCGCTCCAACGCGCTTGTCTAGCCGCTCCATCTCTCTTCGTTTACGTTTGGAAATTCCCTTCGGACACCCGTCGTCACTTCCGTGAGTCGGGAGGTCAGACAACCAAGGCGGGGGGGCCCCAGAGTGCACGTTTCCCTTGCTTGACACAAGCGGCCGTGGACTGACAGTGGCAAGATCTGCAAAAAAAAAAAATCAAAGTGTCAAGTAACAGAGCTGGAATAATGCAAAAACAGCATACTTCCACCAAACGCTGCCACTGTGTGCTTATGCGCTGTAGCACCGTTAACCTGCAATGTCTGATCCTTGGAAATTTTTTGTAAAGGCTCAACACAAACACTGGGACTTTGGCTGCTCTTTGCAGCCAGAAACCGTTCATGATGGATATTATTCTCCGTGGCACCTTGTGTTGTAGCTACGCTGCTGCTGTCCGCCAAAGCTCCATCACCGCAAACAGCTTCCCACTGGAAAAGAAAGAAAAAAAAATGAGAAAGGAGCTTCTTTTTCTAAGTCAAAATCTTGGAATTGTCATGCAAATGGAAAGAGAAGAAAACGACTCACTCACATCCGCGATCTCCTTTCTCGAAAAGAAAAAGTCGTGACGGGTGTTGGCGTCAGCGCCATTCTCACACCAAAACCTCTTCACATTTGAGACGTGGGCCGCGCTTGCGAGATGGTGAATTGCATTGGAGCTGTGTGCCCAAAAGGAGGATCAAGGAAAAAATAAAATAAAATCTCACTATAGCACGAAAATCTCGATCTTACCAGGCAATGGAGCTGCTGCCTTGATCGTCAGCAACATCTTCCTCGCAGAACAAGCACCAGAAGCGATGCGACGGCGCCTGAGCTAGCGGATTGCCAAGAAATCCTCTGACGCCCTCGATTTTCATCCGGGTCTTCCCAAGAACGCTCTGCAGCGCATTGCGATGGCCTGCCGAGTACCTGTGACCTCTCCCTTGCTCGTGATTCCTCCGGCACACGGCGCAGAAGGAGAAGCCCTTCGCGCCCATCCCACGAAGAACCCTAAACTCGTTTCTTTCCCCCAAGAACCCTAAAATATTTTCCTGGATGGATGCGTCCAAGGACGAGGATTCTAGCGCATTCTCTCCGCGATCGCTTCCCGGCACTCGTAGCGCTCCAGGGAATCAACACGATCGCGCTGCTCGTGTCGGCATTGAAGGCGTGCGCGAGCTCGCGGCAGCTCGAATCGGGCAAGAGGATCCACGCCGATGCAATGCGCTCTGGCGAGCACAGGAATGCGTTCGTGGCGACGACGCTGATCTCTATGTACGCGAAGTGTGGCAGCATGGCGGATTCTCGCAAGGTTTTCGATGCCATGGCCGTGAGAGGCGTGGTTGCCTGGACGGCGCTCGTTCTTGGCTACGCCGAGAATGGAGAGGCGAGGCTGGCGCTGGAACTCTTCTCTAGAATGGAGGAGCCGGCGGATGGGCCAGCGTTCGTGGCAGCGGCTATGGCCTGTGCGATCGCAGCGGTGGAAGAACAGGGCAGGGAAATCGATGGAAAGGTTTACAAGTTGTGGAGCTTGGAGAAAGGGATGGGGCTCCACTCCCGAGCGGCGAAACTTGGTTTCGATCGATCTAGCTCCTTTCTCGCCAACACTCTGCTGGATTTGTACGCTAAGTGTGGGAGCTTGGTGGATTCGTGGAGAGTTTTCGAGACTATAGCTTCGCCGTGTGTGGTGTCGTGGACGGCTTTGATACAGGGACATGTAGAAAATGGTGAGACCCAAGCTGGATTGGAGCTCTTCGACTATGTTCTTGGGAGAAAGATCTGCGAGCCAAACTCGAGAACTTACGTAGCTGCTTTGCTCGCTTGCGCGGAGCTGGCTGAGAAAGAAGATGGAACGCAAGTTTTCCTCCAAGAAACTGGAAAGGTGGCTGCTGTAAGGCTGAAGAGTTTGGAGAGATGCTTCGAGCTTCACTCTCAGGCGCTGGAGCGGGGATTTGCGTCGGATAGATTCATCGAAAATGCGCTGGTGAGGCTCTACTCCAAAAGTGGAAGCATGGCCGATGCTTTCTTGGTTTTCCAAGGTATGATCTCTCCCGACGTCGTTTCTTGGACTGCTCTTATTCTCGGCTACGAACTAAATGGTGACAGTGAACAGGCTCTGGAATGTTTCATGCAAATGGAGCGCTCGGATTGTAGACCGGACGCTCGGACTTTCACTGCCGCACTCACGGCTTCCACAACTCTGGCGGCTTTTGATGCTGGGAGAAGAATCGATGCTCTAGTAACTGGCCAGGGACTGGAGAGCGAGCCGTTTCTCTCGGCTTGCCTGGTGGACTTCTACAGCAAGTGCGGACGTGTGGAAGCTGCTCGCTACATCTTCGACTCGACTGCTGCCGTTGGAGTTGTGCACTGGGGAGCGTTGATGGCTGGCTATGGTCGGCAAGGAGAGAGCGAAGAGGTGATCACTCTTTTCGGCAGGCTTGTCGATGAAGGTCTCAAACCGAATGCCGTCGTCCTCCTAGCAGTTCTCAGTGCTTGCAGTCACGCTGGTCTCCTCGAGAAAGGACGGAAGCTTTTCGGTTCTATGAAACCGGTCTATGGTGTCCAGCCAGGTATCGAGCACTATCATGCCATGATTGATCTTCTCGGCCGGTCTAACCATTTGGACGACGCAGTGACCATGATCACAGACATGCCATACAAGCCGACGGTGGTGACATGGAGGACGCTGCTAGGTGCTTGCTGGAAGATGAAAAACGTTGCTGTGGGAAGGATGGCTTTCGACTCAATCATGGAGCTGGATCCAGGTGAAGTCTCAGCTCACATTCTCATGTCCAACATCTATGGAAGCCTTGGGATGTTTGTGGAGAAAGCCAAAGTTCGTGCGATGGGTGGCTTGGATGAGGAGGCGCTCGAGCACGAGTCCTGGAATTTGTAGAACAGGCACTTTACATCATACTTCAGTTCTATGCTACCAGGAATGGATTCAACACTTCAAAAGGTCTGCTTATCTCTTTTCATGTCTCGGATAGATTAATTAAACTTTTCTTTCAGTGTGTCGCGCGAAAGCATATGAGAAGCTGCGGGCCGTCAGATGAGACTATACACTAGGGTTGAGCGAGAGGCGCTGGAGTTTTCGCGAAGGTTAGAAAGGATTCCTTGCGGCATTGGAATGGGTCCCGGAAATGCGCGTAAGTACTTTGAGCAGGAGCTCCACTTATTGCTGACGATCCTCACATGATGGTTTTCTTTTTCTTCTACAGTAGCAGCAGCTGTCTAAATGATGTGGTTCTGCTACAGTCTTCGAGCTGCATGGAGATCTTCTGCTCAAAGAGATGGTAGACACTTTTCCAGGATAGCGAAGCAGACTGAAGAGCGGCAAAGAGTGTCGGACTTGCTCGCAGCTTTGAAGGACGCCAACAAATCCAGGGACTTGGAAAAAGCAAGGAAAATCCACGCAGATGCTGTCGCGAGTAAGGACGACAAGAACATCTACGTAGCTAGCAGCTTGGTGAGGTTGTTTTCGAAATGCGGGAGCATGGTGGATGCTCGCAACGTGTTCGACAAAATACCGCGGCCGAATGTGGTTTCCTGGACATCACTGATTTCCGGCTATGTTCTCGATGGCAAAAGCGAGGTAGCTCTGGACATGTTCTCTCGCATGCAGACTAAAGGCTGTGCTCCAGACGCTCAGACTTTTGCTGCCGCACTCAAGGCTTGCACGGGGATGGCTGCAAAAGAAGAAGGCAAGCTTGTCAAGGGGAGAGTTGTGAAGCCGAAAGCTCTTCAAACAGGGATCGCTATACACTCTCAAGTTAAAAAGAGCAGCTGCGACGCAGACGTGATCCTGGCCAACACACTTATTGATTTCTACACGAAGTGTGGAAGCATGGCTGAAGCTAAGGAGGTTTTCGACGGGATTCAGAAGCCGGATGTGGTGTCCTGGACGTCATTGATACTGGGATATGCACAGAATGGGGAAGGACAAGTAGCTTTGGACTTGTACCAAGACATGAAGTCCAGCGGGTGTTCACCAAATGGTCAGACGTTTTTGGCTGCTCTAAAGGCCTGCACGGATCTGGCAGCAAAAGAAGAGAGCAGCAAGGTTGATGGAAGTCTGTTGCGAGTCTCCACGTTGGCCAAAGGCAGGGAAATACACTCAGAAGCTACAAAGAACAGGTTCGACTCAGACATCTTCGTTGCGAACACGCTCATCGACATGTACGCGAAGTGTGGGAGCATGACTGAAGCGATGAGCGTATTTGAGAGGATTCCACGACGAGCAGTGGTGTCCTGGAACGCGCTGATGCTGGGCTATGTTCACAACGGGCAGGCAGAGGTGACCTTTCGTCTGTTCGAAAGGATGAGATCGGAAGGATGTGCACCAAACGGCCAGACTTTTGTTGCTGCTCTCAAGGCGTGCTCTGGCTTGGCTGCCAAAGAGGAAGGCGAGCAAGTCGACAGCAAAGTCGTGAAAGTATGGTCGCTACAAAGAGGCATAGAAGTCTACTCTGCGGCATCAAAATGCGGCTTCGACTCGGATATATATGTGGCAAACACGGCAGTGGACATGTACGCGAAGTGTGGGAGCATGAGACACGCTCGAGAAGTCTTTGAGAAGATTTTGCATCCGGACGTGATTTCCTGGACGGCTCTGGTATCGGGATTTGCTCAAAACGGTGAAGGTGGTGTAGCTCTGGAGTATTTTGAGCGCATGCAAGCTCAAGGCTGTCCGCCGAATGGCCAGACTTATGTGGCTGCTCTCAAAGCTTGCATCGACCTGGCCACCAACGAAGATGCAAAGCTGGTGGAAGGAAAGCTTGTGAAAGCTGGCTCGTTGGAGAAAGGGGAAGATGTTCACTCTCAAGCGGCAAAGCGTGGCTACGAGTCGGACATATTTGTGGCCAGCGCTTTGATCGACATGTATTCCAAGTGTGGGAGCATGGCGAGTGCTCGAGAGGTTTTCAACGGGATGAAGCGGCGGGACGCTGTGGTCTGGAATGCACTCATGCTGGGCTTCGCTCTAAACGGTGCCAGTGACGAAGCCTTGGAGCTGTTTACTCTCATGCAATCCCAAGGCTGTGATCCGGACGCTCAAACGTTTGCTGCTGCGTTGAAGGCCTGTTCCAGCTTCCTGAGTGAAGACGGTAAAGCGGACGACGAGAGGACAAAGAGAGCTTTGGAGAAAGCTTCGTTGATCCATTCCCAAGCAGCGAAGTTTGGGTTTGACACGGATATATTCGTCGCGAGTATGCTGGTCGATCTCTACGCAAGGTGTGGAAGCATGAGAGAAGCTCGTCAAGTTTTTGAAAGAATACCCCGGAAGAAACATAACGTGGTCTCGTGGACTACCTTGATCGCCGGCTATGCTCAGAACGATGAACCGGAAGACGCTCTCGAGCTGTTTCAACGGATGCTGGTCGAAGGCTTTGCACCAAATGCTCAAACTTTCTTGGCAGCACTGAAGGCCTGTGGAAGTTTGGCAGCTCTGGCAATTGGGAAGGCAATTCACTCGACTATTTCCAGATATGGAGCTGAAGGCGTTGCATCCGTGTCCAACACTCTCGTGCTCTTGTATGGTAAATGCGGGAGTATCACTGGTGCTGAGCAAGTTTTCTACTCGACTACCGCGAAGGACGTCGTGACTTGGAACGCACTGATGGCGAGCTATGGTCACTTGGGAGACACAGCGGCTTTGTTCCGGCTGAGCCAACAAATGCTGGAGGAAGGCTTAAAACCGGACGGGATTACTTTCAACTTCATCCTCACTGCGTGCAGCCATGCCGGCTTGGTCGACAAAGGGAAGCACTACTTCCAGGCAATGAGCTCGTCGGAGTATGGAGTAACTCCAGATCTGGAGCACTATCACTGTATGGTGGACTTACTCGGGCGTGGAAACAAGCTAGACGAGGCTGTCGAGATGGCGAAAACGATGCCGTTCAAGCCGAGCGTGATCACTTGGACGACCATCTTAGCAGCAAGCAGGAAATGGAAGAATGTTGCGGCTGGAAAGCTCGCCTTTGACGAGCTGCTTTCGCTGAACGAGAAACAAGCTGCATCGTACGTGCTTATGGCAAACATCTACGCTGCTGCTGGAATGTGGGAGGAGAAGGCCAAAGTTCATGCGATGAGGAAGGATGCGAAGGCTTGGAAGAAGCCCGGACAGAGCTGGTGGACTGACGAGCGTGGAATCATCCATAAGTTTGTAGCCGGAGACAGAACTCACGCGCAAAGGGACGAGATTGGCGAGAAGTTGAAGCTTCTCGAGGCTGCTATCAAGGATCAGGGGTACGTTGCGGACGTAGGAGCCGTTGCATGGGACATTCCGGACGAGGATAAAGAGGAGTCGCTTTGCGGCCACAGCGAGAGGCTGGCTATCGCCTGTGCTCTCGTGAATTCTCCAGCAGGAACAACGATTCGTATCGGCAAGAATCTGCGTGTCTGCGAGGACTGCCACAAGGCAACGGGCTTCATCTCCAAGGTGGAAAAGCGAGTCATCGTTTGCCGAGACGCCAGCCGGTTTCATGTTTTCGAGGATGGAAAATGCTCTTGCGGAGATTTTTGGTGAGCGAAAGAGGTAAGCTAAGTTCTGGACTGCAACTTCGTGGTGTATTAACTTTCATATGCTAGGGCTGTGGAAGGAGGAAGCCAAGTTTTTCTTCCTGGAATGAGGTATGTGGGTGTTTTCCATTAAGCTCCTCTAGCTCAAGGGCAACTCATTTCACACTTTCCGGGATAACACGATGAGAGCGCGCTCGCACCACGAAGAATGCAGACATTGGTTCGTGTTTTCCATTTTTCTTAGTTTTCATTCCACTTTCTTTCAGCTGAATTCGCAGCAATGACGACGAGCCAAGTTTATCACTCCACAGATTCTTTCGACAAGCTGAAGCCCAAGAACAGGCGGCACGAAAATAAAGAGGCTCTCAAACTCTACGACCAGCTGCAGCACGACGGTGCAAGACACAGCGTTCCGGTCATCCTCGCGGCTCTCAAGTCATGCAGCGTGTCGAGAGACATCGAGACAGGGATGAAGATCCACGCGAACGTGGTTTCAGGCAGCAGATTCCACACCAACATCTACATTCTAAACAGCCTCTTGGACCTCTACTCCAAGTGTGGCAGTATGGTGGACGCTCAACTAGTTTTCGACCGGATGCCAGTCCACACCATCGTCTCCTGGAACACTATCATCAAAGGATACACTCACAGCGGCAAAGGTAGCTTGGCACTTGATCTTTTCTCCAGCATGCAGCAACAAGGCTGTCAACCAAACTCGAGAAGTTTTGTCGCAGCGATCGGTGCGGTAACGAGCTTGCTAGCAGCTGAAGGCAACGACGAAGCCGAGAACAAACTCAATTGTCTCGAGAAAGGAATGGCTCTGCATTCCTCGGCTTGCAAGGCGGGCTACGATCTTGACATGTTCGTGGCAAGCAGTCTGGTGGATCTGTACGCAAAGAGTGGGAGCATGGAAGATTCACGCAGGTTGTTCGACAGGATGAAAAGTCGCGACGTGGTTTCGTGGACTGCGCTCATTTCGGGCTACGTCCAGAGCGGCCAAGCCAAGCTCGCGTTACAGCTCTTGCATCGTATGCAAGAACAAGGTTGCCAGCCAAATGCTCTAACTTACGGAGCCGCGCTCAATGCTTGCACGAAGCTGGCTATGGAGGACGAAGAACAGGATGGAAAGTCGAAGCTGGTCTACCTGGAAAAGGGCAGGGAGCTTCATTCTCGCCTCGCAAAGTGTGGATACGAAGCCGACGCATTCGTCGCGAGCAGCCTCATGGACATGTATTCCAACTGTGGGAGCATCAGAGAGGCCAGGCAAGTGTTCGGGAGAACCAAGAACCACGACGTGGTTGCCTGGAACACGATCATCATGGGACATGCACAGAACGGAGATGGAGAGATGGCTCTCGAGCTCTTCTATCAGATGCAACGCGAAGCTGGCCTGCCTCCAAACGCTCGGACTTTCGTTGCTGCGATCAATGCTTGCGCGGCTTTAGCAAGCAAAGAAAAAGAAGCCGGGGGAAAGAAAGTTTCCAGCTTGGAGAGAGGAGCTGCGATTCACTCACAGGCGATGGAGTCCGGGTGTTGCCTCGATATCTTCGTGGCTAACAGCCTCATCGACATGTACTCCAAGTGTGGAAGTCTGGAAGAAGCTCGCCGTGTCTTCGACGGCATGGAGCAGCGAAACATCGTTTCCTGGACGTCGATGATCATGGGGTACGCCGAGAACAACGCAGCCACCTTTGCTCTCGAGCTCTACGAGCTAGCCGGCTCCTACCTCCAGCCAAACGCTCAGACTTTCATGGCGGCGCTCAAGGCCTGCGGCGACTTAGCAGCGGTGGACGCTGGGAAGAGGCTCCACTCGCAGATCCGAGAGAGAAATCTGGACAGCAATCCACTGCTCGCGTGCTCGCTCATCGGGTTCTATGGAAAGTGTGGAGACACGGCCGCCGCTCGAGAAGTTTTCCACTCGGTGGCGAGGAAGGACGCGGCCGTGTGGAGTGCTCTCATCGCGGCTTACAGCTTCCAGGGAGACGCAGCCGGGGCCTTGAATCTCCTCGAGAGGATGCGGGAGGAGAAGATCCGGCCAGACGGTGTGACGCTCCTCTCGGTTCTCAAGGCTTGCAGTCACGCCGGGCTCGTCGACGCTGGCCTCGAGTGTTTCCGGGAGATATCCTCGCCGACGATCGAGCACTACACCTGCGTGGTGGATCTCCTGAGCCGAGCAAACCGGCTCAAGCAGGCGGTGGCGGTGGCGGAGAGGCTGGCGGCGCAGAAGCGGAGCTTGCCGGCGGCGGTGTGGATGACAATCCTGGCCGCGTCCGCGAAGTGGAAAGATGTAGACAACGGGCGACTAGCGTTTGAGAAGCTGCGAGCTATGGATCGAGAGGAGGCCTCCATCTACATCGCCATGGCCAACGTTTACTCGAGCGAGCTGGCTTCACATGACAGTGACGTGGCTGCTGGCGTCCCGACAGTTGGTTGACGTGGCGTCCACGTCGGGGTCTATCTCCGCCTCGTATCCAGTGGCGCCATGGCGATGGCTTCCACGATCACAGCTCTCGCGAGCTCCTTTGCGAAGTGTGGCGGCTCCGCGAGATTTCTCGACGATTACAACTTCAACTGCGGTGGCAATTCGCTGCGATTTCGATCGATCAGTGGTCATTGCCAGAGGATTTCCAAGGTATGTGTTCTTCGTTTTCTAATCGAGTTTGATCGTTTTTTCGTTCCAGAGTTTGGTGGTGAATCGAAATCGAGCAGGGGGGCAGCGAGGAATCATGTACGAGGACGAGGATACGTTCGTTCTCCTGGAGCCCGGCGAGGACGAAGTGTTCGTCTCCATGGAGCAGCTCCAGTCGAGGATTAAATCCTGGCTGGAGCGATGGCCGTCGGGGTCGCTGCCATTCGACCTCCAAAACTTTAAGACTCTGGACGAGGCCGCGTCGCATCTCGTGAGCAATTCCTGCGAGCTCGAAATTGGCGGCGGCTTTGGTTCCATTCAATGGTTCCAAGTTAGACTGGAAGAACGATAGATTATAGTAGTAGCTTTGTTTAGAACTACTCTTTTTCTATCTTTCTATTTCGTGTCAACATCTAGAACGAACATATCAAGCCCACATTACGTAAGCCAGGGCGTGCCGTGAATTTATAATCAAAAAGTTGGTTGGGATCCACACCATTAAACTAACATTTTAGAAGGTTCTAAAGAAACCTAACTTCTAGAAAGGTGGTAGGGCACGGAAAACAGGAACGGTCACTGCCAGGCCACGCCATATGGCGCAAATACAAGATATGTACGGCAGCGTGTCGTCGCCCGTCGCGTAGCTTGTGAATTGCTAGCAACTTTTTTTTTTTTCTCTCTCCCTCGTTTCCGCGAGTCACAGGAATCGTATGACTCTAAACATTGGGCGATTTTTTATTAATCGGGGGTCTTTTCCTACATAGTACAAACCATAGCTTTTCTTCCATGCATTGGATGGATGATCCAACGGCGGTGGCACTACCCACCAGTCAAAAATGACTTTTGGCCACGGCTACCGTACGATTCTAGAGAAAAGGCTGCTGACGTGTTTCTTGCCACGTGGCCCGCCGTTGCGGCCGCCACGTCAGGCAGTTAAGCACGGCGGGCGGTAGATGTGACGCATCCGACGGCAACGGCAGCGAGCGACGCGGACCGTCGGATCGACGGAATCGACGGTTGCCGTGGCAATCGTAATGCGCGAGAGAGCTTGCTAGGTTTTCTTCGTGGTGGGAGGGAGAAAATGCGAGCGCCATGCCGGATCGAGGGCATGCAGTGATCTCTATGGATTGATTTCTCGCAGGGCGGTGGAGCTAGTGCGCGTGCGCCGCGGGCGCGCGCTGCATAGCGATCGATGGGAGCATGGCCGGGGTTTTGATCTAGAGTGGTAGTATTTCTTCATGCGCGCTCGGGATTTGTGGATCTTGGAGCTGGATTCTAGGAATTCTTGCGGCCCGGGGAGTGTCGCGGCGGGATGGGGAAGGTCCGGGGATGGCTCCACAAGCTGGGGCTTGGAAGCAGGAATGCGGCACAGGACGAGATGGCGCTGATGAAGATCGCGCAGGGGCCGGATTTGGATGTGGCGGAGGCGGGCAACGAGATGGCCCAATTCGGCGCCGGATGCTTCTGGGGAGTGGAGCTGGCGTACCAGAGAGTTCCTGGCGTGACCAAGACGGAAGTGGGCTACTCGCGCGGCTACCTCCACAACCCTTCCTACAGGGACGTTTGCGATGGGGATACCGGCCATGTCGAGGTCGTCCGGGTCCAATTCGATCCAAAGTGCTGCTCATACGAGAATCTCCTCAGCGTTTTCTGGTCCAAGCACGATCCTACCACTCCAAATCGTCAGGTAAGCTCGCAAAAACAGATTTTTTTCTTCGCGATTCTAGCTGGAAGTTTTCGTGAAGAACAGGCTAACGATGTGGGAACCCAGTACCGCTCTGGAATTTACTACTACACTCCCGAGCAAGAGAGCGCGGCCATAGCATCGAAAGAGAGCCTCCAGAAGAGCTTGGACAGCCCGATCGTGACGGAGATCCTGGCCGCCAAGAAATTCTATCGAGCCGAGGCGTTCCACCAGCAGTACCTCGCCAAAGGTGGGCGATTCGGATTCAGGCAGTCCGCTGCAAAGGGTTGCACTGATCCAATCCGCTGCTATGGGTAGAACAACGCCATTTGGTTCTTCCTTTTCTTTCTTTCCTCTCATCCTTTTTTTTTCTCTACACTCATTCTCCTCGTACGAGTGAGAGTCCTTGGGAAGGATCAAAAACAAAAAATTTTCTCCTCCTCCTCCTAGGTACGTCCATTTCTTCCATAAACATTTCGAGAATTTTTATTGAGTTCCAGCGAGAAGAAGAAGAAGAAGCGGAGGTTCTTCCAATCAACTGTACAGTTTGATCGAAAGAAAACAATCACCAGGCAATAAGTAAGAAGGTGGCGCTGCCACCACCAGCAAGTAAAAGAAGATCGCTGATCAAAAGGAATAAAAACGAGTAAAGTTACGCTCGTCGCCACGGTAGGAAGAACGACAAATGTTGTAAGCCTTCCCCATCCTCGAATTTTACCGTGCGTGTTTTTCGGTGGGCGATTCTCTCTCTCGGCCTTAAATTATAAGTTAGAGAAAAGAGAGAAGATTTTCGTTTTCTAGAAGGATTCGTGGGGAACCTAGAACCGCTGATCGCAGCGATTCTTTAAAAAGAATGAAACTTTCACTGTGCTGGTTAAAAAAAATCCTCACAACTCATTGTTCTAAACAAGAAAAAGCGTAGATTATTCTTAGGCTTTATCTAGACACTCGTGTTCTCGTCTATATATCTAGATTCTTTTCGTGACTTTGGAGTTCTAGCTCTTCTAGTGGAATGTTAGTCGTCGATCGACGCTACCCTGGAAGCCAACTTAGCTTTGTCCTCGTTGTTTTCGTCAAAGTACATGAATACGGACAGATGGTGATAGCTCCATTTCCTTTGCTTTTGTTGAGATGAGATAATTGATCGTTGGGATTTGAAACCATTTCAAAGAAATCTTCCCTGAATTTCATCACTTGACTTGGGCAAATCAGGCAAAGTCGCCCAAGGTTGGGAAAAGTCCAGGGCAATCAAATCTCTCTTTTCCAGCCGAGGAGAAATCACATACTGCTCTCAGTCTGATCATCATGATCAGAGTCCAGTGATCTCCACAGCTGTTGAATTTCTAGAAGTACGTGACGACTCATGCAAAGACAGCTGCTGGGTTTCCAAATTCCGAGAAGAGAAAGGGATTCCCTCCAAGTTCCAGCACAAACCAACAGGTTTGTACAAGATCAGGTTGCTGTGCAGCTGTGAGGAAATTTTGAGTTCTGCTATGCCTGCTGATGCATGATTGGATTTTTCTGTGCTTTGGGTCAACATCGTGAAAGGCTGTCGAGCAAAACTGATGAACACGATATTCACACAGCTCTAAATTCGTCCCTACGAACAAGTATTTTCTCCTTGGATTAATGTGATATTTCAAAATGTATACAATAAAAGAATGTACTATCCTTTCTTATAGTAAGCCAAATATAATAATCATATTTACTATGCAAAACTGAAACACTAATGACATGCTATGTTATTTAATGAAAGAATAATAATAACCTTCATCCAAGCTAATACCTAAGTTTGTTGCATATAAAATAATCAAATTCTAGATAGTGTGAAATATAAAAAAATAAAATTATGCTAAAAGGAGACATTTTATCATTTTTTTATTTTAATATTGAAAAATATATTATCAACTCAACTACTTATGTTCATTAATGAGACCATAATGGTGAAAGACTTATTTTTTAATATAATTATTGTTTCTAAATTAACTGTTATAGAGAAATAAGTGAAGAGTCATTTTCTAAATTGTGATATTGATATTTTAAAATAATTTATTGAAATTTTAATTTTAATAATACTATTTATTTTATTATTTAGAGAAGGAAATGTTTTTTTATTTTCTATTTTATTTGAAAATACTAAAATAATAAAAAAATAAAAAATAGATTTATTTTGAACACTCTTTACTTTTATAAGGGTCTTGCATTTGCAATATTTTATCAATATAACCTCTTTTGGACTCTAATGCAATATGATAGAGGTCATTTGCTTAAACAAGGATTAAGCAAATATCAATGGCGCTCAGGGATACCAACCAAAAACATTATTAGTTTAACCCTCAACTAATTCAGAAATCTAATCTAGGTATAGCTTTATGCTTAATAGGCCATGAGTTCAAATTCAATAAATCGAATGAGTAGAGATTTGGGCTTTGATTTTTGCTATGGCTAGTAATAGTAAATATACTTTATAATAACTAAGAGAGATAGCAAAGACATAACATTTTTTTATGCTTCTCCAATTTAAATTTTTCATATTTCTTTATTTAAGTTCTAAGATGCTTGTTATTATAATTCTAATCCTTTCTTTGCAATTATTATTTATATAACATCAACTTAATATATTAAAATTAAATGTACATTTTTGTAGTGCACCCTATCTTTCTCCCCTTAAATCAATTGAAAAAAGGGCAATTGCCTAAGAGAGTCTTTAGTGATTATTTTATCCCTATTTTATCTCCCAATGTTCCAAGATTCATATTGATAGTATATTGAAATCTCATCCCATGATCACATACACTACAATTTTCCACAAGTATGCTAACTTTGATGATGTTTTTAATAATAGAAGAGTTAATAATTTACCATCACATCGACTTTATGATTGTCCCATTCATCTTGTGGAGGGGAAATTACCACTATTTGGTCTTATCTACAATCTTTCACTAGCATAATTGAAAGCATTACATAAACATATCAAAAAGAATATTTCTAAAGGTTTTGTTTATGTGGTTTTCCTCCTTTATCTTATAATGATTTACCATAGGATACATAGTAAAACCTAAACCCTCTATATGCCATGTGCCACATACCATATGCCACATGCCACATATCCAAGGACAGTAGAGTGGAACTTGAGTTTCAAAGCATTAGGCCATTGAATGAAGGAATGGAATTAAACTCCTAAGCATGGAGCTAATGAGTAAAGGAACCGGAGTATGAAGTAATTCCCAAGTGTATAACCCAAAGAGCAAAGGGATAAGAGCACAAAGAGACTTAGAATAGTTCTAAAGCATCCAACTTTCTAATGTCAGGAGTTTTTGCATTATGTTCATCAGGTTATGTATAAATGCTAAGCCCAACATTTAAACAAAAGGGGCTGAAAGGGAATTAGTAATACTAACCTCTTACTATCGCAGTAGTAAGGAAAGAATATCCAAAAGGATTAACTAATAAATAATTTTCAATACCTGTAATCACATTTGCAATACTTTTCCCCCCTTTAAAGAAGATTGACATCCTCATCAATGCATACTTTAATATAGACCACCGCGAAAGAAACAACTTTAAACAAAATTCATGGTATTCACACTTTGTATTAAATGCATCAATTTAATGAGTTATGAGGCAACCTTTCACTCTAACGCAAATGCGCTATAACTCAGACATCTTTTGGCCATCATTGACAAGAAAATAACCAATGGAGTCAGCCACACTTGCTACTCTAGATGTCACATAATTTACAAAAAATGACATGTCCCTACC